AATTATTACATGATTCCAGTTCCAAGAGGTAAAATATTCCAGAGGCACCACTGTAGAATTAAACTTCCTTAGGAGAAAACACAATGGAGATTTATAATATCATTGTACCACTTGCTTTATTTACATACATACAAACAGATCAGTGGGTGCAAAGGGATCCTCCTGCAAGGTATATGTTTTTCCATGCAACTTGGCTGCCCACCACCTGTGATTTCAGCCAACTCTAACCAGACATGCACAGCACGTTGCTATACAAAATGCTTTTTTCTCCTACCCTCAAGGCAACTTCTTTCAGAACCCTTTCTTTAAGATGAAGTGCTCACTTTGTACCAGGCAACTTCTTTCAGAACCATTCCTTTAAGACGAAGTGCCCACTTTGTACCAACTTACATGTATAAAGAAACATGACTCTTGCTAAATTTGACTTAAGAGGCATTACTTTTAGCAAAACCACAGTGAAAGAACCATACCCAGCAAAACTCCTAACAGTATTTGCAACCCAATTTAAAAAACTGCTTCTCCAAGGTTACAATTGTCTGACAGATGCCTCCACTTCTGGGTGTAAGTTCCACTGAACTCAATGGGACTTAATTCATCATTTGCGAATAATTGTAAAGCTGCAATTCATTGTTTTTATTCTTAATTTACTGCAACAAAGTATAACTGTTAATTCAATTATATTGTAAATTAACCTGAAAACCTTTTGTCAAGCTCTTCATTTATTTTATGTACCTCAAGTTCTTAAGCCTCTAAAAAGAAATAAGCTTTTAAGAATCAGAAAATTTGTATGCACTGGAAATTATAAATACTTTGTCAAATACTCAGCTATGCTATGTGGTGGTCAGGTTATAATACCGGGCTAGATTTTTCTTTAGCCTTTTGCTACCATAAGACCGCCTTCCATTCACAGAATGCTTTTGATCCACTAGAACAGTGATTCCCAAAGTGGACAGTACTGCTCCCCAGGGGGCAGTGGAAAGAGCTGGAGGGGCGGGGGGGGGGCAGTGATTGTTTGTTTAAAATTTGCAGTTGAACAACAGCCCTAATGCAAAGAAAGAGGCATAGGAGTGCTAGGGTTGTTGCCCAAGAGGAAAAGGTAACATCCCGAAAAAGTGTGGAGACCACTGCATTAGAGAGTCCCACTAGTGGTAGTGATAAGGCGACATTTGACAATTCCTCTTTCCTCTGTAATCCCCATCCCATGATCCTGGAGGGTCCAAGCAATTCTTGGGATCAAACTTTCCAGAAGGCACAAGGAAATGGGAATGGAAAAACTGCCACCCCACCCACTGCAGAAGCAAAGTCTGAATCCAGGCCACTTCTCTCCCCGATCCCCTGCCCACTATTTATCAACCCAGCAATCTTTAAACCTTTTCACACACTGGATCAACTACTGATTTCTTTAAACTATGCATTTGCATGGTGGTAGCATTACAAGTTGTGATTCATTAACAGGTCCCAACCCAGCAATTGAGGACCAAATTTATGTATAAAGTTAATTTTATTTATAATGATATGTAGAGCATTCCCAACCTAGAACTCCCAGGTGAAAATGTGAGGAAATGTTCCTCATAGGTTTGCAGGGGGTGCAAAATGCCCTTCTGCTGAGCAAAGGTTGTGGTTAGGACAAATTCTAGCCCCAAAAGTAGAACTTTACAAGTACAAAAAGGACAAGATCTCTTCCCATTCATCCAGAGTGCAGAACACAGAATAACAGACTTAAGTTAAAAGAAACCAGTTTCAGACTAGACACCAGGAAGAATTTTCTCACTGTTAAGAGCAGTATGACAATGAAACCTATTACCTAGGGAAGTTGTGGGCCCTCCCTCATTAGAAACATTAAAAAAGTGTCTGGGCAGTCATCTCAATGGAATAGTCTAAATTAGTAGTCCTGCAATAGCAAGTGGTTGGGCCCAATGACCTTCTGATCCCTTCCAACTCTATTATGATTCTAAGGGTCCTTAGGACAATATGGTCCTTGATGGGGAGAGAGCGCTGCTATTTCTCAAGTTTTATTTTCATAATTTAATTGGCTTGGTGGACTTTGAACAGGATGATATAAGTCTGCTGTTATTTAAAAGGAGAATTACAGAGATAGATGGTTATCCAGCATGACTTGGATCAATTGAATTCCCGGATCATTATCCTTAAGGTTAAAAGTTTCACAGTAACAACCAAATTATTGTTGTATACATGAAGGGTACAGAGTAATGAAAGGGAATTCAAGTGGTGGCAGCACCACCAATAGAATTCTTATTTGCACAGGGCAGGGTGTCATGTTGTACATAGTTCTGTAACCAGCCTTGTGTCAGCCTTTTGTCCTTTGTTGTTCTCCACAACTTCTTTCCATTCTTTCTTTCGAGTGCAACTTATTTTCAACACCAGAAGCTGCTTGAAACATTTCCTTCTATTTGTGCTAATGCATCTTGTAAAGAAGTATTCATTCTGGTTAGTAGGGCCAGCACAAGCCATTCCTTAAGGTAGGGAAAAACATGTGTATCTATGTGCCACAGTAAACAAGAAAAGCAAGAACAGCAAATTATGTAGTGCTGAACACTGGGAACTTTAGAACTCCTTAAGTTACTTCACAGGAAAGTTTTAAAACATGACTATCAACTACTTCCCAGTACACTTTCTCAAGCAACGATCACTAAATCTCTGTTTCTATCCACATCCACCTAAGATTCCAGTCACGCTGCTTCCTAAAAGTCACACTGGAGGAAAATTAGGCAGGAAAACTTGTCCTCACATCCTCATGGACATACACAAGCAAATACAACTTACTCATTACACTACAGTATGTATTTGCTGGGTTTACCAAATCTCTACAAATCACATAGAACTAAACTAAGTAATTAGGATCAGGGGCAGATTGCCATTTCTCCAAGGTTGTCATTTCCATAAATCAGGTTGAGTCTGCTGATCCTATTTCAGCTGACAACACAGAATGTAAACAGTAAAATGGTGAGATAAATCTGGGAACATCTTTAAACATCCAAAAGAAGTTATTCATGCTGAGATTTAAAAAAGGCTCAGCACTTAAAGAAATACAGAACTTAAAGGTGCAACAAACATTTCAAAACCAACTTAAGGAAAAAGGTACCCAGCAAATGTATGGACATTTCTGCTCTTCCAGTATGTGTTGGATTCCAAAAATCAAGCAATTTTGGTGCAGCCAGAACCACCATACACAAACCAAACAAGGCACCTGTCAGACAATAGCCTGACTACAGGTAAAATATCCTAACACAACTATAGAAGGACCACCATTTTGTGTTAACTGGCATTTTATCACTTCAGTGAGTTGTTAACCTTTTTTGAGAATCTCACTCCAGCACAGAGAAAGAACCGTAAGGGTACAATCCCATTATAATGATCACAAGCCTCTGCACTTGGAAGCTTGCATTCATTCTGTGCAAAGTGGGAAGATTGTCTTCCCATGCTCATGCCCTGCATTTTCACTAGATGAGTTTCTTCCCTGCTTAGTAAAATTGTCTTGGAGGGAGAGCAAAGGATGCTGGAACAGCCCCAGCATAGCCTGTATCCTGGCATTTCCAATCTTCTTCCCTGCCTACCCACCAAAATGTTCCCTTTCCCCTTCTCCAAGGTTATGTTTCCAACCTCAGAGACTCAACAGCAGCTGTGAAGAGGGCAGGTTGTGATTTCCCTTTGCCTAAAGGTGTTACCTTTCACCACCGATATATGCACTGATGTGTGCACTATTGTATTCTATGATTTGAATTATGACATAAGAAACAAGTCAGTAGAGATGTGAAGGTCCAGGAAAATAAAAAGAAAAAATTGAAAGGTTTCCTCTACCATCAAGGACTGTTTTTGGTTTTTTCTCCCCAAAATGGACAAACTGAATGGCTTCAGATTATAAAATATTTCCTTTTAAAATTTAAGATATGGTTTTATATATTGCTAACCCCATCCAAATAATTTCTAAAAACTTGTATAAGGAAAACTCATACACACTAGAGATACTGAAAATGTCTGGAAATACTGAAGCCATGGTGGGAAATGATTATTAATCCTCTCAGTAAGATTTCAAGCATATTTATTTCATTCTTTATTCAAATTATTGATCTAATAGATCTTTTACTTATAGACATTTAAGGATGCTCTAAGTCATGCTCAATTTTCCAACATGTGACTAATGATTATATGGAAGTTTTGTCTCTGACTGCTGCAGCATATACTCAGGACAGACTCAGTTCTAATCTAAAACCCACCTGTGGATCCCCCCATAGATTATACAGCCACTGTCAAAAGATGTAACTGAATGACAAGTGGGTCACTTTTTTTTAAAAAAAGCAAGCATACAAACTTTTGAGGCTTGGGTCTACACAAACTGACTGCCCATTTATAATGTCCAATTAGACCTTACCACTGTCTCAGCTATAAACTCTTTAACATATGGGAATAGAATAAACCCTCCTCACCTAAAAGAAACTTAGCAACCTCGTTCCTATGACACAGGATTGCCACCAGCACTAGGGACAAGCTTTCAAAAATGAGCAAAAAAAAAAAGTTCATTAACAAATTACTTACAGGGTGAACACACTGTCACTCAAGTAACACTCTGAGATTTCTTAAAGTTTCTTAAATATAGTTGCTTATATTTGGCAGAATCTTTCCCAGCTAAATAAATTCTCCTTTGGATCAGATTTCCCTAAGCCCCATCACACAGAAAGGGTCAGGATTAGGAATTCTCTTAAACCGGCCAGGAAACAGAACAGATGCTGTATACTAGCCTTCCTGAAGTTTCCTCTGGTCAGACCTACAAGAATCTAAAATACATCATATATCACTTGATAAGCTCATAAAATCATCTTGTCCGGTCAATTCAATTTTTCGATTTTTAATACGAGGAGAGAGAAATTTCGGGGATTCAGGCTACTCAAGAGCCTCGCACGAGAAGGAAGGAAACAGTGCGCAGGCGCCGCCGCCGCCGCGGTTCTACGTAAGCCGTTACTCAGCCCCGCCCTTTCCCTTACCTTCGCCCTCACGAGCGGCTGTCCCAATCTCACGGCCGGGCTCCAGCGGCCGGGGCCCACCATAAGCACGCGCCCAACCGCCGCCGCTGCCATGTTAAGAAAGAGGGAGCAAGAAGGGCACCGGCAACAGACGGCCCCTCTTTTGCCGTATTCCGCTCCTGACGCACGCACGCACGCACACACGCACGCTCACGACAACGACGTCGCGCTTCTCAGGCGCGAGAGGCGGGGGCGGCGGAGACGGACAGCCCTTCGGCAAAGGCCACGTGACCAGCAAGGGGGCGGGCGCGCGCGCCGTTCGTGGCTTCATTTCCGCGCGCCCTTTAAAGCGAAGGGTCGGAGTCTTTTTGCAGCTTTCCCTTTTCTCCCCCAGGGTCTCCGTGGAGCAGCGTATCCCCCTTCCGTATTTCTGTTTAAGAGCGGTTCACCGTGAATTGTTTCATGGACGTTGGGCATATTTCAGATTTACATTCAGATAGCCCGCTCAGCATGCTGTAATTTCTGGATTAAAGAATATTTATCATTATTTCGTAGGGGAAGTCCCTACGAAGAAAACGCACAGAACGGGCTAGTTCTTTTGTAGTTCTGCAATATTTACACTGGAAACGTTGATAAGGAAGCTGGTGGTGCTACGAGTTTAAGAAATGCATGTCAAGGTGCAATCTTACGAACATTTAGACGGAAAAAGCCCTCCTGGCGTTCAGGTAGGCATACTGGAAATTGTAAGCCTTTCGTTCAGTCTAAACATGCATAGCATTGCACCGTGCATCTGCATTATTATCATACACACTGATGTTGAAATCTCAAACTCACCTGTGTTTTATTTTTAAGCATATACTCACTGGGTTACAATGTAGAAGTGTGCATGGTGGCCCTTCCTATATTTATACCTTTTATAGTTCTCTGTTTACTAGCCTGTCAAAGTTTCAGTGTTAGAAAAAATGCTTTCTGTGGCTGCAATTCTATAATCCACATGCTCAGATGCATTCCCTAAAAATATACAGGAAAGGAGTACAAGTTTATGATTCAGGACTGGGATAGAAATTATGTCCTAATAATAAACCTCAAGGCTCAGAGGCACTCCAGCTTGTCACATATAACGACTGACCCCTGTGTAAACTAGGGAAGCAAACTCTCCCAAATACCAGGGAAGGCAAGGATGGGGCGGCTGAAGCTCTTTGGAGCCAGCCTAGAGTGGAGCAAGAGCATGTGCTAGAATAATGGGCAGAGTAGAGGGAGGAGAAACAGAACGTTTAATCAGCAAGGAAAACGAACCGGGCACAGTTGGGTACATGCTGCATGTAAACCTTGCTTTGCTTGTGCAGTGCCAGTCCCTTTTATCCCTGGAAGAAAGTTGCCTCCTTCTGGTTGGTTATTGGTCAGGCGCACAAGACAAACTCACCCTTACGAGGCTTCTCAGATTTGGGTAATACTGTGCTGTAGTTGTACTTGAGGTCTAGATCACAGATTGGTTTGGTGAACGTCACTTTGACCTTCCAACTCAAAGACAGATATATTTATAGATATTTGCTATTGATGCAGTCACATCAAACTGCCACAACTTGCCAGGGGTTGAGTAGCTATGCTGCAAGCCCTAAAACAAATAGGAAAGACATGTCCAGGCACAGAAAGATTTGCAGTGGAAGCATTTAAAAGCCACAGAAAGGACACCAAGCAGGGGAAATGGTCCTCTTTGTTGCATGTGTACATGAATTTCTTGAAAGGTGTTACTGTTGTTATTATTAAAATTTGATGAGGACAAACAGGAAATGTTCTGAAACCAAGCATCAAAAATGAGATGTTAGTGGAAGACAATGTAATAGTATACATCTTGTAAATAACCCACACTTACAACAATATCAAGAACTACCTGATGGAGGGGACACATAAAACTATAACTTGATGCTCCAGAGATATTTGATGTTCCCTCCCACCCATGGCTAATGGATTCCAGCATAGTCTGCATTTTCTTTTGGTGTTCTCAACAGGATTGTAGGTTGAGTCACAAACCAAGGATACATGCTCGAGCTGTTGCCCTCCTGCTTCTCCTTGCTACTGGAGCCCTGGTCAAAATGACAGAGAGGAACCAAGTTCTGTTGTGATCCTAAACTCTGCCTCAGCGGGGCATGTACTCCTCATTCCCCAGGTTTTGAAAAGATGAGACTGACTTGCTGAGGGGGAGTGAGAAGAGTCATGGATCTGCTTGTTTTCACCATTGGAAGTTATGTACTATTCTCTCTTCTCCATCCATCAGGGAAACTTCAAAATCCATTGTTTAGGGAACCTCCAACGAGAAGGGAATCATGCTTGTGTAGAAAGGAAGGTAAGGGAAAAAATGTATCTTGTTCTTTAGCCTCAGGCTCCAAAGCAGCTAACATAAACTACAATTGAAAATAAAAAAATAAAAAAATCAAGCAACTGAATGGCCACAGCATCCTTGCCTTATCCCTGTCTAGAAGGGCAATAGGAACAAGATAGTTGGAATTAATGCTTTGAAATGCTGTTGCTTCTGGAATTCATTGTTGGGACCCTTCAAGACAAGAACACAAGAAAAGCCATGCTGGATCAGATCAAAGGTCTGTCTAGTCCAGCACTCCTGTACACTCAGTGGCAAACCAATTGTCCACAGGATGGCTGCGAACATCCTCCTGGCCAAACTCCCCAGCATCTGGTGGGCGCAGGCATGCCACCTCTGGTAAGGGAGGTAGCACATAGCCCGCAAGCTAGTAGACAAGGCTAGCCTCTTCCCCCATGAATCTGTCCAAAGGCCTGCGTTGACTCCCAGAAAACAGTGCAACCTGCTGTGATAGTATTACCATTCCTTTTAAGTTGTGTAATTCATTTAATGAATTGTTTTAATTTTGAGTTACATTTTATTGTGCTTTAATTTATTAGTCACTTTGAGAACCTTTAGCTTAGAAAGTAATTAAGCCAGAACTTTATTAAGAAACAGAAATGGTAAAACTGAGGCTGTGTGACACTTTGGACACAGTATGAGAAGGCATGACTCACTTGAGAAGACAATCATGTTAGGGGAAGTCAAAACCAGACAAAGGAGAGCAAGACCCAGGATGAGATGGATGCATTATATAAAGGAAGTCACAGTCTTGAATATAGAACAGCTACATGGGGACATTACATTCATAGGGTCACCATAAGTTGGAGACAACTTGACAACACACAGTAGCAACAGATTAGAATGTGCGTACTGAACAAATGCATTGGCACAAGCAGTAGTGTGCATTTAGCTTATAAAGAGGTAGGAAATCTTCTGCATATAAAGCTTCTGGCTTTTAAAGAGGTAGAAAAGCAGTTACATAAAATGTTAAGAAGCAGTCAGCTGCTATCCAATGTGCAGCCAACCACCTGTTTCCAAGATTCTTACTTCCTCTCTTCCAGCAGATGTTGGTATCTTAACTGAACAGTTGTAGCTAAAAGATAGTGGACAGCTCTTTTGCATCTGGATGTGCTGAGAGCTAATGCTTCATATTCTATTAGGAAGAGTGTCCAGTGCATGCCATCTTGATGTGACTCCACATCTAGTCACTGTCCTTCAGATATGCATGTGTTCATGAAAAATAGGTTGGATGTGTGCAGTAACATGAAATGGATATTTATTTCATTTGAATGCATGTGTAGATCCGCTAAAACAGCAAGCCTCCCAAAAATCAAAGGCTGAAGAAATATATCTAGACGAGAGCAATTCATGGCATATTCCCACATGTATAGCAGCTGGTAAATGCACAAATGAAAATGCAATAATTTAAAAAGATACTGGTTTTTATTTTAAAAGTTATCTCTGCTTCATGCTTGCTTTGTAGCAATTATAATAGAAAGCCACCCTCCCAGGATTTCTGTGCATCTCAGAGACAAATAAAATAAATGGCTTATTTATTATTTTATTTTTGCTTTTTCTTGGCTTTAACATTATGGACTCATGACCCTAAGGAAAACCCTGTATCAGGTTTGGCTTTGAAACAGAAAGGTAAGTGACCTCAAATATGTGTTGAAGGTCATCAAATTTCATCTCAAGAACTAATCAGCGAGTGACCTCTTGTATAATGCTGAAGCTGCCACCATTGATTTCAGAGGTCAAGTTCCTTTTGGAGAAAAAAAAGGTACAGGGAGGCCCCAAACAGCATAGGCCAGCTTTGACAAAATAATAAAGCCCTACCCTTCCCAGAGTGTTCAATTAAATCCTTTTGACTCCATTTCTGAAAACAGGATCCTCATAGCCATGTTACTCTTGCTCATGTGTGGTCAATACAGTTGCTTTCCTGACTAAATAAGATTTGTAGGATTGAATTCTGTTGCTTCCTTGGATGCTTTCTTCAACATTTGAATAAGAACAGTGGTACTGGCAAGGATATTCCTTCCACATCCCCATCTATCCTCTCTTCACCACTTTTCTTGATGGGCCTATTACTCTTCTCTTGAAACAGGCATTTCCCTTCCTATCTTGGCAGGGCCATTTCTTCATCTTTACCTGATAATGACATCTCTCTCTTTTTGCTCACACTGATATCTCATTTTCCTTTAAGAAACACAGACATGTACTTTACTCCTAAGTAAGAAATTGGCTGATAGCAGTACTTTCTCCTAGTGCCATTTTTTCACTGGACTAAATTAGTCTTCTCTGTAATAATACTTTGGAGGCATGTGGAGTTTCAATCGGACTGAGACATTGTAGAAGGTGGATTTTGCTTCCAGCCACCTTTCTATCTATTCCGTGAAGCTGCAAGTAGTGATTCTCAAATAGAAAAGGAGCATGGAGCAGGGCAGGTATCGATCATTCTCTGATCAGGAGCTTCCTTAAGGTCTCTTTGGGCAGGAATAGGCAACCCAGTGTCATCCAGATGTTTTGGGCTACAATTCCCATAACTGCCGAGTTGCCTACCCCTGTTGGAGGAGAACCCATGTGGCACAGTGGTTAGAGGATTTGACTGGTACCCAGGAGAACTAGGTCCTGGCTATGAAGCCCACTAAGTGATTTTGGGCCAATCATAGACTCTCAACCTGACCTATATCACACAGTTGTAGTTGTGAGGATAAGATGGAAAGGAGGAGAACCTTGTAACCTGCTCTGAGTCCCCCTCAAGTGGAAGAAATGTGAGGTATAAATGGAATGGAATGGTAGTAGTAATATTTTTATTATTAATAATAATTTGTTATTATTGCTATTATTATTATTTCAC